TCCTTCTTCCCCCCCACCCACTCTTCCCTCATCCGTCTTCCCCTTATCAACCACCCAGCTCATTCATCCAACCCAGAACGCAACTCAACCCCCTTCTTTCCAACCCAAACATCAACTGGCGCACCGTCCTCGGTCACACCGCGGTCAACATACCCCCCACCGCCACCCCACTAACACCGGCGCTGACACCGGCGCCGACCCCGGCATTGACACCGGCACCGGCATCCCCGCCAAGACACACCCCCGACGCGAACCCCAGGACGACGGCCCTGTCATCACCCCCGTCCCTACTGGGGATAATAAGCCATCGGCTGCTGGTAATAAAACGCGTCCGGGCTGGGCGTCATCATCCCGCCCATGCCGCCCATGCCTCCCATGCCGCCCATCCCGACCCCGACCCCCACCATCCCCCCCGGCGGCACGGCATACGCCGCCGCCGGCGGGTACCCCTGCATCGGCGCGCCCACAGCGACCTGCGGCGGAGGCGGCGGCGGCGGGGCGTAGTAGTCGTAGTAGACCGTGCCCTGCGATTCGCGGGGTTCGACCATGTTCTGCTGTTGTTGCTGTAGTTGTTGTTGTTGCTGCTGTTGCTGGGGTGTGCCCTGTGCGGCGGTTTGGACGTCGGGCTGTTGTTGTGCGTAAGGAGCTGGCTGCTGCAGTTGTTGTTGGGCGGCTGGCACGAAGGCCCGCGGGGGCGCGTTGGGGGCCATAGTGGCGGTGGTGAATGGCTGGGGGTAGTAAAAGCCTTGTTGTGGCTGCATCGTCGAGTATGGCTGGCCGTAGAAGTTGGGTTGGGCGTAGGCGTTGGGCTGGAACGGCGCCGCGTGGACCGCGCGCTCGGGGATCTGAGAAAGGGGCGTCGAGGATGAGAACTGGGACTGGTAGGAGGGATTGCGCGCGTGCGAGTCTTGGACAAATGCGTTGGGCAGCTGCGGCGGGACTTGCTGGTGGAAGGCTTGTTGGTAGGGGGCGGGAGCGTTTGCGGCCTGATGGGCAGGCGACTCGATGTTCTCGACTGAGACAGTCTTCTGCGGCCGGGGTTGGTGCATGGGAATGCCGTTTGGCCGGATCTCCTGGAATGCAGGCCTCTGAGGAAGCGGGTGTGTCTGGGGCTGCGGCAGCTCGCTGATGGACGGCTCTGGCATCTTTGGGAAGGCATCCGGCCTGGGAGGCATGGGCATGGCGGCGACCGGCGGTTGGGCAAGCGGCGGAAGGCGGACGACGGGGCGCGAGTTGTCGACCGGGTGAGGGGCCCGCGAGATGGTTGAGCCCGTCGGCGAGAGCATGAATTCTCGGCCAATATCGGGGGCAATCGACGACCGGCGGCTCAGGGCAATGCTGGGCGAGTACATGCTCCCATAGACGCTTCCACCCCAGATGCTCGTGCCGCGCGAAAACATGCCCGAGCCCAGCACCGACCGCGGGCCTTTACCCCGCGTCCGTTGTTGGTTCGGGCGCATGGCTCGTGGGATGAAGATGAACGACCTGTCGCTAGCCGGGAAGATGTAGCGGGGCATGACGGGTGGGTCGTGGTCTGGGATCGAAATCCGTACGGGCTTGTCGCGACGCAGCGGCGGGCGGTGGTCAGGCAGCTTTGTATACTGCTTTAGGGCAACGCCCGGGAACAGCTTGGGTGCGCCCACGGATGGAATAAAAACCCTGATAGTGGCGTTTCCAATGTGCTTCTCGGTCGACATGGCTCGGTTGATGGGCGTCTTGCTTGTGGGTGCGGTCGGGATGACGCCGTTACCGTTCGGCGGCCCTTCGTTATTTGCGAGGTAACGGGTCTGTCGAGGTGGCTGAGGGGCAGCGACGACTTCGTGCATGTCATGTTTCCATACCCCGTTCGTAACGGGGTCTGGGACATTGTGCACCTGGCTATACGTGGCAATGGCAGTCAGCATCGGTGGTGGAGCAGCTCCGACCAGTTGGGGAGGCGGGCGTTTTGACATACCTGATGGGGGCGAAGTGGTTTCCAAACGCCCCTCGGCCCCGGCCACGAGCACCCCTTGGGAAGGGCCGGAAGCCGTTCGCGGCAGGGCCGGCATGCCGATGATCGTGCAGGAAGAAAGCCCCCCTGTTTGGGACAAAGGTTGGGTCCTCGTCCCTCCTCCGCCTGTACTCTTCATGCTCGCGCCGCTTCACCTCCTGCTGCGGCAGCCGTGGTTGTTGGTGGGCAGCGGCGCTTGAGCTCACGACAATCGGGGCGGCGTCCTTAGCGGGCGGCGCCTGTTTGATGTCGTCAAAGTGCAGCTCGTCAACCCTGTTTTCCTTGTCGGCAAGCGACAGCCTGCTGAGCGTGGACTCGGCATCGGCGATGACGGGCTGGACGGGCCGCGCCGCTGGGCTCTTGAGGGGCTCCGAGCCAGTCCGGCGGCGCAAGCCGGGCTTTGGGTGGCCGTTGCCGAGGGCCTTCCGGGCGTTGGGCGACGTGGGCGACGCATCGTCGATGTTGCTCGTATCGCTATCATCGGCGGGGTCGTGCTCGTCGCTCCCGATGGAGCCGTCCGTCACGGAGTCATCGTCGAGGTCGGGCATGGCCTCGGGACCGCCGTCGTCCTCATCCTCGATGCGGCGGCGGTGGCCGATGATCTTCCTGCGTCGTGTGCCCGCTGCGGCCATTGCGTGTGAAAGCGGGCCCGGCTCGGCGACGAGTCGGGCGGGAGAGGGACCGGGTGCACCTGGGCGCGGAGGTGCGGGGGGTTGCGATGACGTCGAGGCGGCTCGAACATGCGTCGGGGGAGGTGGACGGCGAGCCTCTGCGGGTTCGGGGGTCTCGTATATTCTCTCCCGAGGGGAAAGGAGGAGCGTGGCTGCGGCCGGAACCGTCCTGCGGTTGCAGAATCAACCGATGGTGAAGGCAGGACAGGCAGGACAGGCAGAGCACGTCGGGACTTGCAGAATGAGCAAATCCAGCACAGGCCGGGAAGAAAGTGCAAGCTTGGAGAGGAGACAGCGACGGGTGCAAAGTGCAGCTCCGATCTGGATGGGATACCCCGGGTCTGGGCTGCGAAGGCTGCGAGGTAGCGCGAGTCTCAGCAAGCCGCAGGCAGGGCTGTCCAGGCCTGCGCGAGCAACCGTGCTCTCGGAGTGGTCGACTTGCTGGTCGACTAGACGGCAAAAATGGAGACGGCAGAGGCGAAGGACTGCAGCAAGTGCAGCTCCTCAGGTGCTTCGTGGGGAGAACGGCCGAGGGAAACACGAATTGGGGATCGTGGCCAGGACAGGCCTCTGCACTGGATCAGCAAGGCTGCGCGCGGCGGATGGCGTTGTTCCTTTTTTTTTTTTAGACTCCTCCTCACGGAATGGAGTTGAATTGAGCCTGCGTTTGGGGATCAGAGCGGCTTGGGCTGGACTGCCACAGGAAAGTGCATGGTGGGAATAGCCTGTGTCCGCTTCCAGCTAGCGTTAATTGACAGCATCTTCGCACCGCGCCATCGTCTGCAGCCGATCCCACTTCCCTGTCTCGACTTACCTAAGTTAGTTATCAGCAAACAACAGCAATCGGCAGGACGTTTTCTTCCCAAATGCAACACCGGTAACAACGGGATATGCCCGAATGCTAGCCGCTGTTTCTTCGGATTCCTCGGAGCCCAGTCTGTGACTTTTCGCTGGGCTTTCCCATGTGCAACCACACAAAGCCAACGCGCATGTCACGTCTGGAGTTGTGTGGATGGCGCGCCCGCCACGAATCTCCCACCAGGAAACGCGGGAGCGCGATGATGCACAGAGAAGCCTCGTTGGCTGCCTGGCAAACCAAAAGCCATCCCACCTTTTCAGGGCTATTTGTCGCGTACAAAGCCCGCGTCGAGCTGTCGCGGGGTCGACTCACAGTCCGCTTTCAACAGTCATCAACCAATCGAGACAGCAACCCTGCGTTGTCAGGGCACGCGCCACCCCCATCAAACATCAGATGCTCGGGATATCCTGTCTGCAGCACGTATTCTTGAAGTCATCCGCCAGCAAATAGCTAGAGCTGCCCCGGCCAACTAGCCCTACCCACACAAGCTCCAGGGTCTGGGAACGGTCAACTGGAGCCTCACGCTGGGCCGTCCATGGTTTCCGACACACCAATGACGAGCACATGCCGCAATGGCACTCGCGATCTATGGGTGGGTGTCACCGAGTCTTTTAGACCTGCACCCCAATATGACGACCGCCCTATGATGCGGCAGCACGTCGAGGCTCCGCGGTGGTCGACACAAGTCGGCCCTTGGCGGTGCTGCTGCCCTGGAGACGAGCAGACGAGAACGCTCATTAATATGGAGCACCCCAGTGGGCCAGATGTTGTATCCCAAAGCCAGCAGGCAGTCAACACAGAGACGGCTTGAGCAGGGAATGTTCAGAGAAATGCCCAACATGGAAGTCCTTATATCCAGGCTTCATGCCGGATCGAGTGTCCGCTGCAAAGTACCGATGGCATGCTTGGTAAACCACCCCACATTGGACCCCTGCAAGCTTGTCCAAGAGCTCAAACTTGCACAAGTTGCCCCGAGTTTCTCACGTAAGACATCGACTTGTTCTATCGTCGGCTTCAAGAGGCACACTTGGAAAACTACCAAGGCAGTCATGAGCTCTGCCACTCTGCCCTGGTAATTAGTCCTTCGTAACTCTCAGCACAAGCTACTTGTGATATGTATCTGCTGTTCCTCCTGCACACAGCCAGCCCCCAGACTCAACCAAATTCTGCCACTTCTTATCGCCAGATTCAAGACAAGAGTCTCAAATCAACTGACTCCAACCACCCATCGAGCCATCTAATCCCCCTTGTAGTGGTATTTCACCCGGCGTCGAAGCTCTCACCTAATCCTCTTCTCTGAGCTCTTCTCTGTCTCGGCATGCTTGTCAAGAAAGTGGAGACTAAAACGTCCACTCCTAGAGTCCCAGTCCCGGTCCCAAGCAGTCTCCCCCAACCCACTAGGCGGCCATGTGAATGCAAACCCACCAGTTTTGTAAACCCTCACTCCACACCACCAAAGATATCCACAACACAATTCCACGGCAAGGTGGCCGAGCGGTCCAAGGCGCCAGGTTCAGGTCCACCTGAATTAGCATCTTTCTCCCAAAGATTTCCTGGTCTCAGTAATGGGGCGTGAGTTCGAATCTCACCCTTGTCAAAGTTGTCAGTCATATATCATCGACATGTGATTGTTTTTGCAGGTGTCTGCTTTGGCATTTTCATTTTCTTGGATTGCTTTCCTCTCACCCTTTTGCCCCGGTCAACCCTCCTACCCTTCTTTTTTGTTTCTTTCCTCGGCTACAAGAGACATGGTTTCCTCAAGACGTTCACTCGTCTACCTGTCTGTTTTGAAGTAACATGCCCGGGACTCTCTGGTCGCTTGATGTACCGACACGATGACAGCGAATCGTGGAATACATCAATACAGCGTAAAGAAATCAAGATCAGCATAGGTTGAAGGGGTAAGAGTCAACATAGCGCGAAAGACTAAGGGTCAACATAGGTTAAAGGAGGAAGAGTCAACTTAGCGTTCAAGTAGTAAGGGCTGGCTTCGCAACGCAAGTCCTTCACAGTACCAAGCATCGGGCACCATTGAATATATTCCACTGCCACCAGAATCCAGACTCCCGTCTACTCCCATACTTAAAACAAACACAGCGGTTTTGACCTTCTACAGACACCCCTTTCCCACAGACTTCGCCAACACCCTCAACAATACCTCATCAATGCTCATACATATATGTGTCCGTTGAGGCTTAATTAGCGACGCCCGAGATATCCCCATACGAGGACTTGACAAAGATCCTCTCCACGTCCTTCTCCAGCTCCGGCGCAACAAGCGGCATGGCGTTCAGCTCAACGTTCTGCGTCTTGGTCACCTTGGGCACCGCGCCAAAACGCATGTTGCCCTTGTCCCAGATCTGTACACACACACACACAGTTAACAGTGGTCCTCCTCCAACAAAGAAAGAGCTTGTATCGGATGAAGAGTGAACTCACCGCGTACACCGACCGCAAAAACGCATCCCCCAACACATCAAACGGGCACTCCCCGCGCGACTGCACCGCGCCATACCACCACCTCCCTCCCTCCTCCCCCTCCCCCTCCTCCCCGCCACGGGCGCAAACACCAAGTCCTGCTTCTGCACCACAAACTCCGGCCGCCGACCGCCACGCGGAAGTCGGGCAGCTCGTCCGGCGCAATGCCGCGCGGCACAACCCACCCCTGGTGCCGCTCCGCGTACTCAGCGCCGCGGATCTGCGCGTACAGCGCGTCGCACACCTCGTCCGACAGCAGGGATCAGCGCCGTGCCCGTGTCGGCGACGGCCCGGTTGCCCGGCCGCGACACAATGGTCGTGGTGCCGTTGACGGTGGCCGTCTCGCTGGCAAACATCCACAGGCCGGTGGACTCGTCGAGGGGGGCCCAGTGGATGCCTTTCTCTTCTCCCTCGGAGCCGTTGTTGGCGAGGTCGCTGTCGATCCAGCCGAACGTGTAAAAAGACTTGGGCGCCGCCGGGTCCGGGTCGCGCGTGCTGTACATGGCGCAGGTGAAGACGCCGGCCTCGACGGGGATGTCTTCCTGGCGCATGACGTTCTCGAAGGGGGTGTTGTGCGGGAAGGGGTTGCCCTTCCAGTGGATGGTGTTGAGCTTGCGGAAGGCGAGGCCGAGGATGCCGTCCATGGTGCCGTCGGTGAATTGCGGAGAGAGGTGCTCGGCGGGCTGGATGGCTTGGTCTTTGATGGTGAGGCCGCCGAGGGAGAGCACGTCGTAGCCGACGGTGCCCGACGCTGAGGAGCCGTCGCCGCGCTGGATCTTCCAGGTCGCATCTGCGCAGGTTTTGAAGCTGGGTGACTTCTTGGGGTCAAAGTTCTTGTGGATGTTTACCTGTGCGCCTTCGTGTCAGTAGCGATTGGTGACGGTCGGGTTCTCTTGAAGGGTCATACCCAGAGGTCGGAAGAGCCCGTGTCGAAACCCACCAGAACTTTCTGGGAGGGCTTGGTTCCAATCGACACCGGGCACAGGTACTCAGGGTCGGTTTGCTGGTCCTCAGCCCTGACTTCGCCGGGCTCCTCGGAGCCCTCGACTTTCTTGAAGAGGCCTTCCCACACATGGCCCGGCTTGACCCCTGGCGCAGTCTTGCCGGTCGGCTCTCCGGACTCGGTGTACTTTTGGAAGTACGGGCCCGGCTTGGTGGGCTGGAAGCCGAAGCGGTTCAATGCCCAGACGTAGGACTTGGTCCCATTGCTTTGATAGTTGCGGTTGGGGATGGCCATGACCTTCTGCAGGCCACGGCTCCTGCGGAAGTTGGCCTGGGCCTTCAAGACGTCCTCCATTTGCGTATTGGGATGGCTTCCTTGATGTTGAGACGGTTCCGTGGTGATGAGTTGGGAGAGTTCCTTGACCAAATGTAGCAGAGGAGCTGCCTTGATTGTGTGCGGAAAGTGGCCAAAGTTTGGTTGAGGGGATCTGGGAGCTAGTGAGTACCTATCTTCTGGATGTTAAGTAGAAAGAATCACTGGCTTCTCTGGGTTATGGAAAGCACGGTGCTGTGAAAAGTGGCGTGTAATGCGTCGGGGAGGCACTTGGCCGGGACATGACCTTGGAAAGTGGTGGTGGAAACCCCATGTTACACTTGCCCTCCAGCCCCAAGCCTTGATATCAGGGCAGTCACAAGTCAGATACCCGTGGACGTGCCTGCCTGCTTGAAGCTCAGTCTAGTTTGACTCTGCCAAAGAAAACCCCCTCACACCGTTGCTCAACCAGCACTCTTCACCTGCACCAGTGAATCCACCGAGATCGTCTCCTCAACCGCAACGCCCCTGCGTCTTGTCAGGAATTTGTGACGATAGAAGTTTCGCTCATGATGCTGCTGACATACCTCTCAAGTGCCCATCTCCTGGACGTTCCATTCTGCCCTCCATTCCCGTCTTCGTGGCTGAACGTCTTGCTCACAGCAGGCGTAACCCAGCGCCCTTTCCTCCAGAAGTAGGGCGTCGTGACGGATCCTTCCATGACGGAGCCGTCTGCCTCGTTGACAATGAGAACCTCCTTTTTGTCGGGGAGACTGATTTGTGCCCGTTGCCTCGCCCCATCATAGGGGGGCCGGTGAGTCGTTTTGAAGTGGGTGTGTTCGGAGCGGGCCGTCTTGGAACTATCGACAAGGATTTCCCATCCTGGAGTTTTGGATGGGATTTCGTCTTGCGACCCGTCGCTCTGGATTTCCCCAGGAGGGGCAAACCGTGTAGGAAAAAGGTTCGCGAGCGGCGTTGCTGGGACCACGCCAGAGGTTACAGACAGCTCACCCTCTTTTGTGATGGCCACTCGCACTTTCATCGGGGACTGTTTGTCTTCTCCGATGCTGCTCATGATTCGGTCCCCTAGCCTCTGCAGACCGGCCTCGCCCTTGAGGAATTCCACAGCCGCATCCCAGCCCCAGTGGGTGGCGGCCAGGAGCATGCGGTCGCGATGGTAGTCCAGCATATAGAGGGGAGACGCGTTGGCCCAGTTCCACCCGGCATGGCTCAGAGAGCTGCCGGAAACTTGAGACAGCGCCGGGTCATAGCGGAGGGAGGAGAAGAGCTGGAAATCGACCATGGCGAAGTCGGGATGTTGATGCGGGAAGTAGACTAAAAAGGACGACAAAGGCACGTTCGAGTGCTGTAACACAAACCGTTCTACTGGATGGATATTTGTACTTCGTGAGCTGATGACTCGGTAGCTTTAGCGCTCCATGCAATTATGCTGAGTTATCGATCTCTTGGTTCCAAAATCCCCTCCAGTTCACAATGCTGTTGTCCTCCCCTCCCGCCCCATGTTACCTCAGGTGCTAATTAAGGTAAGGTCTAGGTAGCGTGTCTCTGGGAGGATGCAGACAGGGGTCTTGACCAGGCTGAGCCAGGGTCACAGGCCGCCAAGTCAGCCAGGGCCGGGCCAGACGGGCGGTTCCGGGAAAACAGCGTGAAGGTCCCACTGCAGCCAGTGCAGCGACGCAATTGGCGCGTCCAAGCACCGATTTTTTTGTTCCAAGCTTCGGCCGAGCTGCTGCCCGCGACGAGCTTCCATTGATTTCATTGATGCCCACCTGCATCATCGAACTGGCGAGACACCGCGTCGGCTCACAGCATCGCCCTATCCCTCGGCCATCGGCACACCGAGGATTCCACGTCGTCCCTCGTCTTTGATCGAATTCTTTTCTAATTCCCATCACTAATTCCCACAAGCCATGGCGCCTCCATTTCCTGCACCCCCCACGGGCACCCCGTCGGCACCAATACCCGCTGACCCTTCGCTGTGGGATCGCATCTCGACATGGGTCTCGGAGCACAAGGCCGTCGTCTACACCATTGCTGGTGTGGCCGTCGTTGTCACCACCGCCGGTGCTGTCTACTATGTCCGCAACGCGCCCAGCGTGAGCTCTTCTTGCCCGGTCCCCTAACACGAGAGACTCCTGCCATGCTGACATCCTCCGCACCCACAGGAACCAAGGACACAACACCCAGACCTAGCAAGAAGGAGAGGCGGAAACGGAAGCAGGCCGAGAGGGAGGCAGAAGCTCAGAAGGCGACCGCGTCCGCAACGCCCGCCGAGGCTGCTGCCGCGCTCCCGCCGCCAAGGCTGCCTCTGTCGAGTCCGCCGACGAACTCCCGGAGATCGACGAGACCACGGTCCAGCGACTTTCCGAGGGCGCAAGGAATATGCGCAGAAGCTGAAAGAGGCCGGCAACAAGGCTTATGGGGCCAAGGACTTTGAGAAGGCCATCGGGCTCTACTCGAAGCCATTCTGTGCAAGCCGGATCCGGTTTACTACTCCAACCGCGCCGCCTGCTACAATGCCCTGAGCAACTGGGACAAGGTTGTCGAGGACACCACTGCCGCCATCAATCTCGACCCGAGTACATCAAGGCCCTCAACCGCCGCGCCAATGCCGACCACCTGGGCAAGTACAGCGAGGCCCTCCTCGACTTCACCGCGAGCTGCATCATCGACGGTTTCAGAACGAGCAGAGCGCCCAGGCCGTCGAGCGCCTGCTCAAGAAGTTCGCCGAGAGCAAGGCCAAGGAATCCTCGAGACCAAGCCTCCAGGCTCCCCAGCTCCACATTCGTCGGCAACTACCTCCAGAGCTTCCGGACCAAGCCCCGGCCTGTGGGCTTGGAGGA